AACACTTATAGTAATTACTTTAGTTATAAAAATGTTTATGTGTCATAATCTTCAACAGACATACCTATATATACCATGTTTCCCTGAAAATAAGACCCAACCAGAAAATAAGCACAATTTTTCAGAATGGTCGTAAAATATGCCCTGCCCCCAAAATAAGCCCCAGTTAAGATCGTCAGCCAGGTGGCTGACATGTACAGCATGTTCCCGAAAATAAGACCTAACCAGAAAATAAGCCCAAATGCATCTTTTGAAGCAAAAATAATATAAGACGCAGTCTTATTTTCAGGAAAACAAAGTATTAGGCTTTTTTTTTGTATCATGGCAAACTCGACACTATTCCAAGTGTGACCTCGCTTGTGTAGTATAAGGCAATATCATTTCTTGTGATATTTATGACACTTCTTGTGATCCCTATTTTGATAGAACCTAGATCTGCCTTTGCTGTTTTGGCAGCTGCAGCACACTGTTGGCCCATAGAACATAGAATCAGAAGGCTGGAAAGGACATCGGAGCTCTTAATAGTCCAACCCATGCTTAAGCAAGAGTCTTTTCCCAGGCTCTCACACCCACATCAGCACTCGAGAGCACCTTATCTAGTCAAAGCCAGTCACAGAATCATGATTGCTCTTGGCTTCTATCTGACTATCCTGATATTTTAAATTTTGTTTTAACAGTCTGGGAAATGCAAAATAAAATTACTAATGCCCACATGTTACAGGTTCAGAGCAAAGCATGTTTTGTTTGAAAACTCTGGAGACGTGTTTTTAGCTTACAACAAGCTCAACATTCAAACCAACTGCTTAGACTGGCTCGTTTCTTGAGATGCAGGCATGTTTGCAAAGGACTTCGAGTAGCATCTGGAAGTTTATTGTCCTCTACTATCTTAAGCTATAATAAAAACTTATTTTCACTTTTCTTTACATAAAGGCCTTCACAGTATCTCACTTATGTTCGGTTAAATAACAGAGCTTCAACTCGGCAGAAATATTTGATAGTTTTGCAGGAGGTGCGTGTAGAGGTGGCCTCATCTGGCCCAGGTTACTGGGAGTATTTGGTTTGAAACATAGAATTTCTTCCTTTCATAATGTGATACAGCAAAAAAATGCAAATGATTGTATATTTTTTCTCATACAACAGAAAAATTGACCAAGCAAATATGAGTGAAGAATTCTATGACATAAAATTCAGTTTTTGCAATTTTTGTCCAATGCTATTAATTCTTCTGAGATATATTGGAAATCTTAAATCTATTCAGTTGGAATCCTCCTGCACAATAACCAAAACTAAGAATAGATTTCTAGGTCAATGGTTCTTCTGTTTTTTTCAGCCCTGTGTTCCTCTGGCACTTTTCTCATTCCAGATATAACTGTTTCCAGTAGATTTCATTCAATAATATAAGTCTCCTAAAATCTGTTAAAAGACCTTCTAGGTACTGACATTTTAAATTTAAATTTCATATTTTAGAAAAAACAAATCAGTTTCTCCAAGACAACCTAGCTTTCATGTTAAATGTATCTAAGCTTCTGAATATTGATCTTAGGAGTAGAGACAGATGAGTTTTAGTTGCACATGGTCAGTTTGGTGTAATAATAGCAATAACACTTAGGTTTATATACTGTTTCACAATGCTTTACACCAGCGGTTCCCAAACTTTTTCAGTCCACCACCCCCTTGGTGCTACAAACTCATCCTCAATGCCCCCCACCCAGGGGCAGAATTCAAATTTATGTGGGCATAGCCTAATTTGAGCGTGGTTTGCTGGTAACGTGGGCATGGCTTCTTGGTCACATGACTGGGTGGGCATGGTTTGGTGACTGGCAAACCAAATACAAGTGGTCCTCACTTAATGGCCAGTTGCTAAGCAAGTGTTCTAACTTATGACTGGCCTCCCCAGAACTACTTGACCTGTTTTTGGAGTTTTGACAGCCATGCACACACATATACACACACTCCCAACCCTGCTGGTGCAGGTCATTGGACTAGAATCGGCAAAGCATCTCTGATTAAATTCTAGTAGTGAATAAAATCTAATCAGAGATGCTTTGCCGATTCTTGTTTATTTGTTTTATTTGTATTTTTTTATTTTATGTTGCTGAATTGCATTGACACGCGTGTCCCTTCTTGTGCATAGCTCAGAAGCTTTTGTGATTCTTTGCAGCAAAAATTACCAACCTCTGCCTTTGCTCTATTTTCAAATGTGCCAGCACTGCCGCGTTCTAGGTACCAGCCCCGCAGGTCCACCCCATTGAGCACAGGTGGTGTTTTTAATCTGTACTTCCAACACAAGGTCAACATCCAACCAGGGAACAAAGGATTATATAAATAAACTACTGACTTAAGAGATGGTGCTGTCAAAGGAACTTTGGATTCCCAGATCACAGTTTGCACTACCAACATGAAGGGCAAGAGATGGGCTGCACCTCACAAGAACTGGGAAGAATGTTTTTGGAAAATGATTGGCTCAGCTTATCCAAAGGGCTTTAATCTAAAATTGAGGGGGAAGTGTGACCAATCTTTGGGATCCTTAGAACCTAATCCCAAGCAAAGACCCCAAGATAATCAAACAAGGAGCTATGGAGTGATGGGAAAACTTGATTATAAACCAGGAGATGTAGGAAGCATACCCATGGTGCTATAAAGGACTCAGATGTATTAGGTTTGGGGGAATAACCTTGAGGTACTATTATAGGAAGGCAAGTATGATAACTAGTTTCCATTATCAAAACCTGGTGGGATGAAACTCAGTTAGAATCTACTGCTGGAAGGATATAAACTGTTCAAAAGAAACAAACCTAACAAAAGAGGAGGTGAATTTGTATTATATGTAAGAAATCACTACACCTGTACAGAAATGCATAAAACCAAGGATGAAAGCCTCCTTGAATGCATATGGGTTAAAATAAAAGGAAAAAAGAATGACATTGCCATAGGCGTATATTACAGGCCACACAAGCAAAAAAAAAAAATATTAACTTTTTGCTAAGCAGTTAACTAATAGAACAAATAGCACTTAGACTTATATACCACTTTACAGCCCTCTCTAAGTGGTTTACAAAGTCAGCATATTGCCCCCAACAATCTGAATCCTCGTTTTACTGACCTTGGAAAGACGGATGGCTGAGTCAACCTTGAGCTGCTCAGAATCGAACTCCTAACAGTGAGTTAGGTCTGCATTCTAACCATTGCACCACCACTACATATATGTAGGAAACATACCATAGTAATACTGGGGGATTTAAACTACCCTGACGTCAACTGGGAAATAAATTCTGAATGAAGTGGGAGGTCAAATAGGCTCATTAGGATCCTGGCTGAAAACTTTGTCATTCAAAAGGTAGAGAGAACGAGGAAAACCTGTATTGAACTTAATCTTTACAAACAAAGATGAAATGATAGGGTGGGTGTGTGTGAAGTTGCAGGAACTTTGGGGGAAAGTGACCATGTTATATTGTAATTCCATATAATGCAGACACAAGCAATAGAACAAAATCAAAGTAGCGTCTTATACTTTAAACAGCCAGATTTCAACAAACTTAGAGCGAGCTTGGGAAGGATTCCATGGATGAAAATGTTAAAGAGGGTTCTACTCTCTGTTTTTGCTGGCAGAGGCACCATGGACCAGTCCTTTGCTGTTTTCTCTACACTAGCCAAACCCAAATCCTGCAACAGTTCATCTTTTCGTCTCCAAACATCTTAGTTGCTTTCCTCTTCTCTGCACTATTTCCAAAGTCTCAACCTGTTTTTTTGTAATATGATGACTAAAACTGGATGCAGTGTTCCAGGTGTGGTCTTACTAAGACTTTATAAAATAGATCTTTCTACGCCTCTGTTTATATATCCATGTATTAGCTTTTTAAGCTGCTGCCGCACACTGCTGGTTCATATATAAGGGATCGTCCACCAAGGACTCACAGTTATTGTTTTTGAGCCAGGTTTCACCTAATCTCTCTTTGGACCTTTGGTTTCTCCAGCCTAAGTGTATTTGTCACGTGAAGCTGTTCTCTGTGTTCCTTATTTTCTTGAATTTGAGAAGTACTTCAGTTAGAAATATCCATGTTGTACTTGATGTTTAATTGAACTCGTATTTAGTACTGTAAACTGAAGATAGCCTGGGTCCCTACCACCGGCTCCTCACCTTCCGAGATCCTTCCAGAAACACTCGTCTGTTGGGCGCTGCCCTGCTAGAAGGCACCGGCTGCGGCCCTCTTTCCAGGAGCGCCCTATCCGGTCCAGCGTTCCCTCTCTCCTTCAGTGATCTAGCTGCTCAGATTCCCCGGAGCGCCGCCTTCGCCAACCGACGTGGAGAGCAGTGTCCCTTCAGGCGCAGTTTGAACCGAGGAAAAGGGGTCGCAGCCCAGAGTCTACGGTGACTGAAACCCGATGCTTTCTGCGTCCCGCCCGCTCCATGGCTCTGCGGCTTCTCCATCCCATAAATACTACGCAGAGACCGTATTGGGAAAGGAAGCCCTGGAGGAGGAGAGCAGGAAGGCTGCCGCGACGGGGAGGTCTTGCTGCAGAGCCGGAACTGAGCGCCCTTTCCCGCGCACTATCCGCCTCTAACAGCCCAAAGAGCGGAGGGCGGCTTCCCTGGGACAGCAATTGGCGAAGCGATTGGGAACATCGAACAAGCAATTGGGAACATCGACAGGTGCACCTGCCTGCCTCTGCTCTCCGCTCCGGAGATGCTTCCATGCTGAGCCGGCCCGCACCCTCCTCCAACAGTGGGCATCTCCAGGCAAAAGCGTTTCTCGCCCATGGGTCTCCAAAGAAGTCCCTTCGAGTCCGCCTCGACGGGCCCCCAAACCCGCGCCCAGACCAACTCCACGGCGGGTGGCTGGGAAGTGAAGAGATCAGCCGAGGAACCCCGGTTTCCGCCGATCCAGCGGCTCAGACGGGCTGAAAGCCGCCGATGGCCTCTGCTGGCCAGGGGCGGACGAAGTTGTCCGCAAAAAAGCGCCGAGACACTGAGCAGCCAGTACGGGCTGCATCTCCTGCTGGCCGGACTGCTGTTGATGTTCGCCTGGGCGGTGCACGCCGTCGGGGTGGCCAAGAGCGCCGTCCTGGCCTACCTGCTCTCCCTCATGGCGCTACAGCTCCTCTGGATGGTTTGGTACCTCTGCCGCCGCTGTGCGCACAAGAGGCTCATCCAGGACAAGGACACCCAGGCCGGGGCCCGCTGGCTCAAATGTGAGTGCGGCGGGGCGAGGGCGCGCCCGGAGAGAGGGTGCCTCCGGCTGGGAAAACGCGGGCAGCTGCTTGGCCAGGCTACCCTTGGGAAGTTAGGAACAGGCCCTGGAGGGAGCAGCAGCGGAGGTCTCCTCACCTTTGCTGCTGCCCAGAAAGGCGCGCAAATGTCCTCCGTGTTGTAGGCAGTGAAACGCGCCATTTTGAGGGTGGAGGATCCTCGCCGGTAACGTTTGGAATGGAGCGTCTGAACTCTCTGCTCTTGATGTCAGGAAGAACAACTTGAGTATAAAAACTGTGGCATGCTGGTGAAATGGGATCCCACACGAAATGCTGGCCTTCTCCTTGTTAGGGATCTAAATTGGTGGGCATCCTATAGAGGTGGTAGAACAAGGTGCTCAAATTTTGGAGGCCATGTTAAAATTATGTAGTTATTCGGTACCAACGTGGCTGCGTTTGAGTGAAATTTCCCCACTTAATCTCTCACAGAATCCAATAGAGTACTGTATGAAAATCCCGCTCTTTGAGAACCCTGCCCCAAGTAGATATACTATATGACCCCTAAGGGCGACGCTAGAAAAAAAATCATTGGCTGTGTCACCTATGTATATTTGTTTTGACTAGATGAGTCTAACAAATATACTGATTTAAACTTGGTTTATTTTTTAAGCAAATTCAATAAAATCTCAGTTTAACAACTCCCATTAGGGTTATTTTATACACAACAAAGAAATGTGGACATCCCATGCAATAATGAACAAATCATTTTATGAGACATTTATTTACTTTCCTTTAATCCCTTTTGATTAATCAACCTCTCTTCCCAGACAGAATATAAAACTGAGATTTTACTTAATACTTTGTTTAAGGGATTACGGTAGTTTGTTCACAATAGGTTTGCATAGAGTTGCTGCCCTGGATTCTAATCCAAAAAAAAAAAAGGCCCTGATTTCATTGGGGTAAGGGACTACCAAGTAAGGGGCTACCTTTTCCTGAAGATTTTGGGGAATTATATGTTGTTGATGCTTCAGCATATGCATCCCTATTTCAGCAATTCATCTGAGATTATGCTTCATGATTTCAAATTTTATAAGAAAATGGTTATAGAAACAATGCAAAATCCATAGATTTTTTTGTTTACTTCAATGGATATTTTGGAAGAAGTTAAATGTTTGGTAAAGCTCAAGATGGAGAGTCTCAGAATAGTGATAGCTCCGCACAAATGTGATGTGTAAAAAAGTTTCATTCTCTACCCAAAGAAAGGGCCATTGACTCCATTATATACATACTGTACACATTTTTCTGTTATCTTCCTTCATGAGAACCAGAAAGATAATATTTTGGAGCAAGTATTTTAGGGTAGCCTGTAAAGTCACCAATAACATATCTTTGCATTATTGACTCCAAGCACTTCACTTATTGTGATAAATATCCTCCTAAAGATAAGTTAGAAACCCTATTGCAAAATTTAGCAGAAGGCGGCATTCCAACTACTTCTGGAGTGGAAATGGGATGATGAAACAAAAATGTTTTTTTTTACGAAAGAAAGAAAGATATAAGATCTATTACGTCAATGAATAATGGAAACATCACGAAAGTGAGGGTGTTAATCCTTTCCCCCATACCCTTGCGCAAAATTGTCCTTTATTATCCATAAGCTGGTAGCTTTTTTTTGGGGGGGGGGGGCATGGAAGATAAGTTTCACAGCAGGAAGCTTTTTTGCTATTATTTTAGTATAAGAAATGTTTTTTTTTAATGAATTTTATTAATTTTCAATAAACAAACATACACAAACAAAACACAAAACATAAAAATATAAAACTTCTTTTTGGAAAGTGGCCTAGTCCCGGGTTACATCTTTTGGTACAGACATAAATCAAGTTCATGCTCACTTTATATACCATTTCATATCTTATTTACCATTCTATATTTTCTATATGGCTTCTCCCCTCTTTTCACCCTCTTAATTTGATTTTATTTATTTCATCTCGATTTAAATCATTATACTGATATCTTTTGTCCGTTCTGTAATCATCTATTTTTCTTTTCTTATTAACACAATATTTCTCCTGTAATCACTAATTGAAGTATGACGCCTTTATATCTTTCCCCTAAATTTAACACTTAAAGTAATATATAATTCTCATTCTGATTCTGCTTAGCACGTTCTAAAACTACCTACTACATTTTAAGATAGAAAAATAATAAATTTATAATATAATTGAAACAATAATCCATAGTATATTAAACTTTATCATTTATGCATTTTTGGTATTTTGTTAAATCATATAAAGATCCAATTTTCTAACATTGTTTCAAGTAAAGATATAAGAATACAATCTTATGTACTTTTGCAGAATCTCTTTTGTAATCCTAGTCTTTTTACACATACACCCCCCCCCCCCGTCTCTTAAGAAATGTTAAGTTAAGTATAAGAAATGTTAAGTTGCTGGAAATGCCTGGTATATGAAAATTAGGAAGCTTATCTCACTTTTTAAGGCCATGTATATAACAGATAACAGTTTTGATGTATCCACAGGGAAGCTATTAAATAATTGTTTTCTTCATATATTTTCTACAGTTGCTAGAAATATATGCTAATGTATTAATTCAACATCATTTTCTGTCTGTTTGCAAACATCTTTCCACCAAATGGTAATCACCAAATCGAATTCATGTCTTCTGAACTTGATCTGTTTCTCAGTAGTTGTGCATGTGCAGAAGGTCTTAACATGATCTGTCGTACATAACCTCAAAATAACTGAGGGGAGTTAATATCTTGGGCATAGGAGAAGAGGACAATTCCAGGCAACACCACCCCACCATTGTTTAATGGTAGATCCTTTTGATACTAGTGTCTAAGGGTCTAATGATAGACCCTTTTGATACGCAAGAAAAGCCACTTTTCTTGCATATCTTGATCTCTACTGTGTGGAGAAAGGGAAATCATGCAGCAGAACGTTTCGTGTTCTTGAGAATATTTCTTGTTAATTTTAGTGTTCCATTTTTTGGGGGGAAGGATGAAAAATATTACTGCAAATTACTATCTGTTTTTGTGTAATTTGCTGGGTTTTTTGTGCTTAATTTTAGTTATTTTGAGTGCAATATAATTAGAAATGTAGACTATAAATTGAATCAATACAGAAAAAAATGAAAGATTTTGTCCGTATGATAAGTTACAGCTTACCAAATAGCAAAAATAATTCATCTACCTCTCACCTGCCAGATTTGGAATGCTGCAACACATCTTGGCAACATTACATGTTTTGAAGGAATTGGAGTATAGAACGGTAGGAAGAAGTTAAATTGATCTATACAGCCTGATAACCTGGTGCACAAATTTTATGTCAAGTGAATAGAAATGGGGGACATAGAATATTCTTTATTCTTGTGTGTTCAATCATACTTGGCCAATAAAGAACTACCGGTATTATTTTCTAATTCTATTCTTTTACATATACAACCCACAATTGGAAATATTGCTGCTAGCCTGTTAGATCTGGAATAGCTTCTGTGAATGAAGTTGAAAACGGCTACCAATTGAGCTATGTTAAAGTTCTTACTTTTAGTATAATTCTTTTGTTTAACATTTGTTCCAGGTGGAATTACTTTATTTGCAATCATTACTTTAATTATGGATTCTTTCAAAATTGGATACTTCATTGGATTTTCAAGTTGCTTATCAATTACAGAAGGCATTTTTCCAGTTGCACATGCAGTTCATACACTATTGCAGGTAAAGCCATTTGGTCACTTATTATTCCAGATGTATACAACTCTTTTAGGATTGTATTATTGTTGTGTAAGAGCCTAAAATAAACTAAATTGGTTCAAGATTTTTTCACCCCTCTAATTGTATTTCCTCAAAATCCATTAAAAACAATATCTCAATTACTGTGATTAAATTGGCAAGGAAATTCCTATAAAATGAAAAGTAATTTCCTTAAAGCGTTGGTAATCCTGCATGTTTTTTCTGTTCCAGTCCATTAAGGTGCTTGAGAATTTCACAACATAACAGCCATGCTCCCATTCATTTTAGAAGGAAAATCTCCAGTAGCTGATCATTACAAGGACTGTAAAACCATTTAATTATAAAAAGTGACATTTGCTGATTTAATAGTAACATCTAGCTTCTGTTTAGGTTCCATTGAAGGTCCTTAATTTTGATAACTTAGTTTTTATAATTAACTTACTAAATACGTTTGAAAGTAGGGAAACCTGAGGCACTGTTAGTACTAATGAACCTCCATCTTGAATTAACAGTTGCACATTTAAGCAGTTTGATAAAAAGTCACATTAATATCATAATTTACGTTCACTTGCTAATAAGATGGATAAAATACTTCTTTTAAATAGATGCAATTCTGATTTTTACAACTCAGCAGGTCTCGGCTTCACTGAAATTTGGCTGAATTGATGATAGTAGCCTGCATATCCCAGGATTTCAGATATAGAGAGCAGACAGAATTGCAGAAACATCTGGTAAAAAGAAGGGAGGAGGCTTATGTTTATATATTAACAGCCGCTTCTCCAGAGATATAACCAGGGGTGGGATTCTACCGGTTCTGTCCGGTTCTATAGAACCGGATGTTATGATTCTGCACAGTTCGGAGAACTGGCAAATCACTCCCTTGGCTGGCCCCGCCTCTCCTTGCCCACACAAACAGCTGATGGATGGTGGGGTGGGGAGCTGGTCCTGGAAGCCCCGATGCCACCAGAATCGCTGCCATTGTGTTCCTTGGGCACCATTGCCACCATTGCCACTGCTGTCTTGCTTGGGGAAGTGAGGCTGGGAAGCGAGGCTGGGAAGGCTGTTTGCAGCGAGGGAAATATGGGGGGGAGCTGCGCTTCACAAATGTGATGACAATGGCGCTGGAATCCCCTTCTCATTTGTAAAATGTGCAAAGTTTAAAGGTGCTGCGCAGCGCAAGGCTGCTTGCAGCGAGGAAAATATGGGGGTGAGGCGTGCTTCACAAATGTGGCAATGGCGCTGGAATCCTCTTCTCATTTGTAAATTGCGCAGTTTAAAGGTGCCGCGCAGCGTGGGGCTGCTTGTGAGGGAAATACATGGGGAGCCACGCTTCACAAATGTGACAATGGTGCTGGAATCACCTCATTTGTAAAATGTGTGAAGTTTAAAGGTGCCGCGCAGCGCAAGCCTGCTCATAGCAAGGGAAATATGGGGGGAGTGGAACGCGCTGTGCAGCACCTTTAAACTTAGCGCACTTCACAAATGGCGCCTCCTCATAAATATAAAATATGTTACCAGTGGTATCTCTGCTCTTGCCACGGAGAAGAGAGATGAGAAACAGAGAGGGAGGGAGAAAGAAAGAGAAAAATATACTACTGTAAGTATTCCAGAAGCAACAAGCTCCCTTCCAGTTTCCACAGCCCCAACCAATCTCCCACGCAACAGGAGCAGAAATTTCTTTTCTTTTTTTTTAATTTTAAAAGAAAACTTTAGTAGAGATTAAAAAAGAAAAACACTATGTACAATACATTAAATACAACCTTACGTTGTAGACAAAATCTATATATACAAATACATAATAAATAAACATATAAAACATATAAAACCTATGCTTCTAATTAACTAAGACGGTGTGCTTTTTTCTTGGTAATAATTTTACTACTATTATTCATTTCTTATTTAGTAAACATTCTTAATTTAACTACTCCATTCATCAAAAACATATCTTTTAATTTCCTGTTTTTTTCTCTTTAATCCACTTATACCATTTATCCCAAGCTGTAATATATCTTGAGTCTTCCTTATTCCTACGTTTTTGTGTAAGTAGGTCCATTTCAGCACAGTCAAGTATTTTCTGAGTAATCAAATTATTTGTTGGTATTTGTTTGCCCTTCCAACATTGTGCCAATGCAATTCTTGCTGCTGTGATTATATGGAGAATTAAATACTTCATTTCATTTGCATAGTCCCATTTTGACATTCCCAACAAAAATATTTCAGGTTTGAATTCTAATTGAATACTTGTAATTACTTTTATCCACAGTCTAATTTTTTCTCAATATTTTTTACTTTTTGGGCAGAGCCACCAAGTGTGGAAGAAGGTGCCCCTCGTTTGCTTACATTTCCAACACATCGGACTTATGTTTAGATAAATGTTAGCTAACCTTGAGGGTGACAGATACCACCGGTTACACATTTTATATTGATTTTTTTTATAGATTGCCAATTTTGTTATTTTGTAATTTTGATTCCAATTTTTTTCCCAATCTTCCAAATTAATATTGTGCCCTACATTCCTTGCCCATGCGATCATTGGGCCTTTAACTATTTCTTCCGCCATTTCATATTCTAACAGGTAGTTATACATTTTTGGGTTTAATTTTTCATCTGTTCCCTCGAATATTTTATCTAATTGATTCGGTTTTATCTCAATCCCAAACTCTTCCATGACTTTTTTATATCTGCCTTGAGTTGTAAATATGGCCACCACTCTATTTTCATCCCTTGTTCTCTAATTTCTTGATTCGTCATTAAACTTCCTTGGGAATTTAGTACATCATAATACGTAATATTTCTTCCAGTTTCTAGTTCGTTGGCGTGGATCAATGCCTCCATGATGGAAACCCATCCTGGGATCTTCATATAATGTTTGTGTTTAATTTCTTTCCACATCTTTAATAATGAACATCTAATTATATGCCTATTAAAGTGTGTGTAACTTTTATTTCCCGGGTTCCACATGAAGGCATGCCACCCTGCTTCCAAATCAAGCCCTTCTAGAGTTAAAACTCTTTTGTTTCTCAAATTGGCCCAATCCTTAATCCATGTTAAAATTGCCGCTTTATAATATAGTTCCCAGACAGGGAGCCCAAATCCATCTCTGCATCTATTATCTTGTAAGGAGCTTAATTTTATTCTAGGTTTTTTTCCCTGACCAAAAAAATTTCGTAGTAATTTTATTTAATTCATTTAAAATTTTTTTTATCTAATTTAATTGGAATATTTTGAAAGAGGAATAATATTCTTGGCAAGATGTTCATCTTAATAGTCGCTATTCTTCCTAGCATTGATAGTTGCAATTTCCCCCATTTTTCTAAATCTTTTTTTATTTCTCGTACCAATTTTACGTAATTATCTTGTTTTACTGTTAAACATCTTGCCATGAGTCAAATTCCTAAATATTTAATTCTTTTTACAATTTGCAAGCCCATTACCTCTTCTAATTTATTTATTTTTTGTTATCATTTTAGTTTTATCCTTATTAATTGTTAACCCTGCCACATCTCCATATCTCTCTATCTCTTTAATTAATTTTGGTCTTGATTTTATTGGTTCTTCTATGAAGAACACAAGGTCGTCTGCAAATGCTTGGGCCTTGTATTCTTCATTTTTAATTCTTAATCCTTTTATCTCCATATTCTGTCTACTTTTTCTCAACAAAGTTTCCAAAGTCGTGATAAAGAGCAGAGGTGAAAGTGGACATCCCTGCCTGACTCCCTTTTCTGTTTCAAATGAATTAGTAATTTCTCCATTAATTATAACCCGGGCTTCTTGGCTTGAATATATTGATTCTAACATTTTTTCAAAATTATGTCTGAATTTCATTTCCTTTACTTGTTGCCTCATAAATTCCCAATTTACCTTGTCAAAGTCCTTTTGAGCATCCAGAAAAACTAGTGTACCCTGTTTTTCTGGATGAGCCTCATAATATTCCAGGATATCTAGTACTGTTCTTGTATTGTTTTTAAGTTGTCTTATTGGAAGAAAACCGTTTTGATCAGTATGTATATATCTACTTAGTATTTTTTTTAGTCTCTCAGCCATTAAATTCATAAATATTTTGTAGTTGGCGTTCAACAAAGAAATTGGTCTATAGTTGTTTATGTGGGTGATATCTGCACCCTCCTTTGGTATTAATATGATGTACACTTCTCTCCATGACCTTGGTAGCTCTGCCCCTTTAAGCATTTCATTGTAGTTTTCTAAAAGAATTGGGTCAAGAATTTCGCCTAAATTTTTGTATAACTCTGCAGGTAAACCATCTGTTCTGGGAATTTTGTTGTTGTTTTGTTTACTAATTGCTTATTTTATTTCCTCTATGATAATCTCTTCATTTAATCTTTCCCTTTCTTCTTCTGATAGTATTGGAATATTTTCTTCCTCTAAATACTGTTTAATTCTCTCTTTACTCATATTTTCTTGTTTATAGAGTTCACGAAAATACTGCAATACTATTTCCTTTTTCATATTGTTTTGTATCTTTCCCTCCTTATCTTGCAATTGCTGTATCCATCTCTTCTCCTTTTCCTTTCTTAACCTATATGCAAGCTATCTTCCCAGCTTATTTGCATTTTTGAAATAATTTTGCTTTACTAATTTCAATGCGCTTAAATTTCTTTCCTGTTCTAATACTGTATATCCAATTTATGTTTGGCTAATTTCCATTCATTTATAATTTGCTCATTTTCTGGTGCTAATTGTGCTTGTCTTTCCAATTTTCTAATATCATTCTGTAACTCGTTGCTTTCTTTTTCTCTTTCTTTTCTCTTTCTAGCATTATATGCAATTGTTATTCCTCCTAGATACGCTTTCGTTGTATCCCACTGATTCTATAAAGAGGTGTGTTCTTTTTTATTTACATCAAAAAACATTTCTAATTCTTTTTTTAGTTTTGCTATATATTCTTTATCTCTCAGAGTCTGTGGGTTCAACATCCACCTTCCTCTTTTTTTTGATTGACCTTTCCATATTACTATAATGGGGTT